CCGGAAGGCACGGCCAAGGATCGCGTGGGAAATACTCCTCGGAAGGAGGAGCGCCCCAAACTGGCGCGCGTAGGGTTGAGCGGGAGAAAGTCGCAAGAGAACATCGAGCACCCTGCCCCACCTGGGCCAACGCAGCGGCCCAGTGGGTGACGTCGATGTTCGCGCCAGGGAACAGGCGCAGCAAGGCAGTGAGGTCCGCAACGAAGGGCGCGACCTCGGCAAGGGAAGACGTGGTGCCGGTGGGTGCAGACCTCCTCGGGTCCATATCCACTGCGGACACGCCAACGCGAGAGGCTTCGGATCTGGCAGCGGCCTCTGAGGACAAGTCAACTCGACGGGCCAGCAGCGCAGCAGTGACCCCTGAGGACGGATCAACCGAGGGTGGGTCCCAGTGAAAACAGCTCCTCGACACTGCCCTGCGCGACGATGGGTCTCGCCGCACACCTTTGAGCTGGATGGGTGGCGCTTCCCCTTTGATGCGGGGCCAATACCACTTGCCTCCTCCTCCCCGCCGCTGAGCTCCCGATGACCAGAGGCGGGCGGGTCGAGACCCTGGCCGCGCGACTCGGCAGCAGCGACTCCTGCGGCAGCACGCGCGCCGGCTCCAGAAGCGCGCCGACCACGGGCCGGCGGAGGCGGCGGGGCCTCGGTCTCGCCCGCCCGCCGCGGCGGCGGCGGGGCCTGGCGAGGGCGGCGCCGCGCGTGCGCCCCAAGCGGCGACTCGCCAGGGAAGCTCCACGCACCTCGAGCGACCGCGGCCACGCGCGGGGGCTCGAGCACGCCGCGCCGTGCGCAGAAGGCCCTGCGCTTGCCGGGGACACTCTGTGGGGCGCCAGTGGGGCCCACGCCCCTGGAGGTGATCCAGAAGCCGAGGCCTCCGAGCGGTTTGCGACAGCGGCCCAGTGGGTCGCAACCCCAGCGCAAGGAAAGCGCTGGGGCGCGGTGAGGGTGGCACACGAGCGCCTGCCTCAGGGCCAGCGGGGCCCGACGGCGGATCCACTTGCCTGGCCCAGGGGAGCAAACCACCGAAACCAGAAGCCGGACTCGCCATTCCGCCCGCGCCACCACTCGCGGCGGCGGAGGCAGGCGCAAGAAAAGCCTGGCGAACAGTCGCAACGTGGGCAGCCACTGACGGGGCGACGGCTGGCGACGTTGCTTTAGGTGGCTCATGGCTCGGCAGGGCTGGCAGGGACGCAAAGCGACCCTCCCGTACCCCGAGCGACTGCAGCAGCTCGCGAGGGCGAGTAGCGAAGCCTGGAAGACTTTCCCCCCAGGGGTCCGCAGGGGCGGGTGCGCCGTGAGCCTCGGCGAAACCATGGCCCTCGGCTGGCCCACGCAGCCAGGCATCGAAACTTCAACCGCCGCAGCGGGAGCGCAGGGGGCCGAGGATGGCGGCGCGCCGAGGCCAGCCTCCAGGCGGGGGTTTGCCAGAGGCGGTGCCGCGCCCCGGGCGCGAGGGCCCGGCGGCGCGTCTGGCCCCCGAGGCGGCTGGAGAGACCGACCCGTCGAGACGTCGGCGCCGTGACCTGGCGGCAAGAGCGAAGGCCCCCGAATTGCGAAGGGAACCGGCCGAGGGTGGGGCCCAGTGCGGGGCGGCTTCTCCCACGACAGGAGGGCCCCCCGCCCGCTCGAACGGCAGCAATGCCGGAAGCCCACGAGGACGGCACGTGACCCCTATGTGACGGCGGCTCCAAACCTGAACGAAGGATTGCAAAAAAACCGAAGGATTGCAAAAAAACCGAAGGATTGCAACAAAAAAACAGGATTACAAAAAAACGAAGGATTGCAAAAAAACCGAAGGATTGCAATGAAGGATTGCAAAAAAAACCTGGAACGAAGGATTGCAAAAAAACCCTTCGTTCGAGGTGGGCCCACACGCCTGGCGTCGCGGCGCGGCATGGAGTCCAACCCCGGAGGTGCACGGAGCGGCCAGACGGGCGGAACGCCACCGGCGAGAACAGAAGCGGCGTCCAAGGCGGCGCCCCGAATCGGCGCCCGTGCATCCAAGACGGGGACGCCACCCGAATGCACGTCAGCAGGCGCGCGTTCGGCAGCCGCTGCTGGGGCGGCGAAGCCCGTAGACGGCGCGCCGCGCCTGGCGTCAGTCCCGAACCAAGAGGCGGCATGGAGGGGAGGAGCATGAGGTGGAAGGAGGCTGAGGTTAGAAAACTCCCCCTTCCCCCCCCCCCCTTCCGCCATGAAGGCTCTCGGCGCGGAGGCTTGTGCGAGCAGGCGGCGTTCTGTCTCCCTTCTTGCCCGCTGCCACGCGGGCGCTGCTGACGAGCAAGGGCTGAGCTGGCACTGCGGCGGGCGAACTGAGCCCCGAAACGCCTCTCAGTCGCGCCGTTCGCACGCCTCGGCCAGCACCGCGCCACGGCGCAACGCGTGGCGCGCAGGCACGTCAGCTCGTCCACCTCGTCCTCCTCCTCCTCCTCGGATGGAGGCCCCCGACTCCCCCGGGTCGGGAAGGGGGAGGGCGGGAGAGTAAGGAGGGGGGTGTTCTGCACGGGCGAGAAAGAGAGGCAGGCGCCACCGCCCGCGAACACGAAGGGACGGGGCCAGGACGCCAGCTGCCGCCCGAGCGAGCGAAGGGCCTCCACCGGAAGGCCGCGGAAGCGCGCGGGCCGCCCGAGCGAGCGAAGGGCCGCCCGAGCGAGCGAAGGGCGCGCGACGGCGCCCAGCGAACGGGCGAGCCCGCCCGCCCCGCAACAGAAGGCAGCGGGCAGGGCCCGAGGAGCAGCGGCGGAGACAGCCAGGCTCCCAGGCAGCCGCTGCCGCGGAAGCGGCGACAATATCACCCGCGGCAGGGGCCGGAGCCCCCTGCTCAAAACGACCGGCCGCCCAGGGCGGACGATCGGCCCCAGCGCAGGCTCAAAACGGGCGGGGCAAAAGCGCGACCCCCGCCCGAACCTGAGCCCGCGTGGGCTGTTGAAGAAGTCCAGGAGGACATCACCCGGGTGACTCCAACCTAAGACCCATGGAGGCCCAACCGGAAAGAAAAAAAAAATGGGGCGCGCCGAAGAACCCAGGGGGTCCGGTTTCCGCGGAGGAAAAAAAAAAAACTGGCGATGGGGTTCGAGCACGGGGGTTACCCCCCCCTCAAATTCCGGAAGAGGAATGAACTCCCAGCCGCGGGGGTGCCCGCGCGAGGGGTCCCACCCCCCCAAGCGCAACCAGAGGAAGAAAAGCGTGAGAGCCGAGACTGTAAGTGCAATGCAACAACACCTTAATCGCGGTTGCACTAGGGAACAACTGCGCGATAGGACATGATAGTACCAGTTGTACTCAAGTACGAGTTGTACGGTAGTCGGAGGGGTTCAGGGGTTCCAACGGCAACGCGCGCGGGGAAGAAGGAAAGAAATCCATGCGCCGCCAGGGGTCCCGGGTTTAACGGGTCGCCGCGAAGGTTGACCCCCCGCGGAAAGAAGAAAAGAAATCCGGCCGGGGGGGTGGGGGGTTGAGGGATGAGTCACGGGGGCGATAGGAGGACCAGGAAGACCTCCAGGATGGCCTGTGCGGGACGGGCCGGATGACAGCCCCCCCGGCGCGCGGGCCGCGGCGGCCGCGAGCGGGCGGGAAGGCGCGCGCCGACACGCTGGCCGAAGCAGCTACAGACGACCACGACGCGCGCGGGCAGAGGTAGTGAGAGAGAGAGAGAGAGAGCATGGAGGGACGAGCGAGGATGGAGGGGTGAAAGTGGGAAAAAGAGGAGTGGTGTAATGATGTTGGGGCGAAACAACAGCAAGTGACGGGGAAGCGGATGATTCTGAGGAGGACGACCAGGGTGCAGAGCAGGCGAAAAACATCGAAGCTTAACCAGAAGCCTTCGCATCGCAGTGTCACTCACAATCGAGATAAGAGCGGGGAGAGAGTGATAGAGGGATGGAACAAGAAGGATTCCCTGCCTAAAACCTCAGTCAGCTCTCAACCGCGGGGGTGCTGGCGCGCGGGGTCCCCCCCCAGCGCAGCCGGAGGAAGAAAAGTGCGAGAGCCCAGATTGTAAATGCAATGCAGCAACACTATGATAGCACTTGTAGCTTGGAGCTGTACTAGTACGACTTGCACGACACTGTGTCCTATTTCCGCAATCGATGTTATAGACTGTCTCCCTATTCCTTAATCGCGATTATACTCTGCGTCGGTCCTCCCAAGTCGCGATCCTGTAGTGTTCCTTATTCCTACGTCACGGGTATATACTGTGCCCCTGAATGCCTCAATCGCAATTCGATCGTACTAGCTGTGCTGCAGGGCCAGGTACACTCTGGGACAGCTGCGCGCTAGCACATGATGTGTATTCAAGTACCAGGTGTACTCTAGCCGGATGGGTTCAAGGGTTCCAGTGGCAATACGGGCGCGGAAGAAAAAAACAAATCCATGCGTTGCTGGTGGCACCGGGTTTAACGGGTCGCCGCGAAGGCGGACCTCCTGCGGAAGAAAGAAAAGAGATCCGGCCGGGGGGGGGGGCGGGGGTTCAGGCGTGAGTCAGGGGGGCGAGATCTGGATGGTAGGGGAGGGATGGAAGAGCAGGATCGAAAAGGAGGGATGGCTGAGGAACAATGGAGACGCAGGGACGGGCGAGCAATGAGGAGGGAGGAGAGGAGGAAAGAGAGGCGGGGGGGCGGAGGAGAATGACGAGATGGAGGTGGATGTTTTCCGCACCCGCGGAGCGCGGCCGCGGGGCGGCGTCCTGGGCGGGCGCCATTCTAAAAACTGCGGCTGCTGAACGTGGCCGCGCCTGGAGGCTTCAGGGGGGGGAGCGGGAAGGAGAGATGGAGCAGGCTCATACAGGGAGAAATCTTGCTGCAAGAGGACATGTTGAGACACAGTCTTCGTCGATCTTTGAAGGTCCTGCGGTGCCCCAGTGCTTCTGTGGGTCCCTGGGGCCGCTGGGGGACAAGAGCTGTCCTTGGGGAACCTGCTGGCACGCTGACTTCTCAGTTGCTGTGCCTACTGTATGGAGGGACGACCGCCTGCCTGGCGGGGCTCAGACCGCGCAGAGCTCAGAAGAGGTTCTGCAAGCCGATGGGGGAATTGCCGCCGCCCTCCTCGACCAGCCTGCTCGCCATGCTCTCGATGGGGAAGCCGTTGACCGTCCAGGTGCCCTGCGGGCCCGCCCATCCGTCGGGGAAGATGGGGAAGAGGGGCCCGTTGACGACCAGGTTGTGGTGCACCATGCCGCCAAAGGCCAGCATCGCCAGCCGGCCATTGTTCAGCTCCTTCAATTTCATGTCGTAGACCTCCTTGTCGGTCTTGCCCTTCAGGAAGCCACTGCCGAAATTGAAGTCTCCGGGCACCTTGTCCCCCTCGCCCTCGAACATGTCCAGCATCGTGACCTTCCCGTTGTAGGTCTGGCTCTCGATGTAGCCGGCGAGGAAGATGAGAGTGATGAGGCCGTTGGTCTCGGTGTAGACTGCGTTCAGGGCGTTCTCCGTGGGCGCCATGCCGGGGAACGTGGCGTACTGCTGGGTGGCGAAGCCGACAGTCGCCAGCATGCAGACGCGGCCGTGCTTGAGTTCCGACTCGCGCAGCCATTTCATGTCGAAGGTGTCAGAGAAGCCGAGCGGGTCGAACTCCTGCTCCTCTCCGACGTACCCGGCGAGGTTCTGGGGTTTGGGCATGAAGGGCAAGCTGCGGCTTACCTCGGCGCGGGCAGCCACCGCGCTGGTCCTGCTGCGCTGCGGCGCTCTCGAGGCCCCGCAGAACGACGACCTCGTGCCCGCAGCGGAGGCCGCGCGGAGCGTGGAGCCCTCCGCGAAGACGTCGACGCCGAAGAAGGGCCAGGTCTTGCCGGAGAAGGCGCCCGCGGTGGCGATGCCGCCGAAAGCCAGCATGGCCAGCCGGCCGTTCCGCAGCTCCTTCAGCTGCATCTCGTACTGGCCCTTCTCGTCCTTGGGGTACCAGGTGCGGATGCCGAAATCGCCCGGCTTGCGGTCGGTCTTGCCCTCCATCGCGTTGATGATCGCCAGGAAGCCGAAGGCTTCGAAGTAGCCAGCCCAGCAAAGCATCTGCGGCATGGAACCGAACTTGACCATGGCGTCGTGCGCATCGAGGGTCGATAAATTTGCGAAGGGCTCGCCAGGGACGCGGAATCCCAGGTCCGTGGTGATCCAGCCGACCACAGCCAGCATCGCCACGCGACCGTGCTTCAGCTCGGCCTCGCGCAGCCAGCGGATGTCCCAGGCGAGAGACATGCCGATCGGGTCGAAGCCGTCCTCCTCTCGGGGGCGGCCAAGAGGGGGGCGTCCAAGAGGGGGGGGGTGCAATTCATGGCCGGCGGCATGTGCGCGGCCCAGGAGGGGGGCCAGGGATGTAATGAAACAAGAAGAGGCGCCATGAAATCTGCGGAAATATCATGGCCCACGCCATGATGTCCACCCCCCCCTAGTCATCACCTCCCCCTTTGCCGCCCCCGATCCTCGCCGACGTAGCCCTCCAGTGCCGGGGACGCCGGCAGGAAGGGCACAGCCTTGCTCATCTTGTACCCGCCCTCGGGCCCCGCGCGCATGGCCACGCGGCGGGCGCCCCTGGCCAGGGCCCCAGCGGCGGGCCTCACGCTGGCGCCGAAGCCGCTGCTGGCCTTCTCCGTCGCCACGGCGCCAGCGGGAGTCTCGGCGCCCAGCCAGGGGAAGCCGCTGCCTGTGGCGACGGCCTGCGTGATGGCGCCGCTGAAGGCCAGCATCGCGAGGCGCCCGTTCTTGAGCTCCTTCAGCTTCAGATCGTTGGCGGCCGCCGTCTCGGCGGGAAGGAAATTGATCCCCAATTTGTAGTCGCCAGCGTTCTCGATGGTCACCTCGTTGCCGGTCTTGCAGAACTTCGGGTAGGTGGTCAGCATCTCGAAGAAGCCGCAGAACGCAAAGACCTGGAAGAGGGGCCCGCCGAGCCCGTTGGCGCTCCCCGCCACGCAAGCGTTGTGGGCGGCGACCGTCGATGAGGCCTCGTAGCAGCCAGCGACGTCTCCGGAGGCGGGGATGCGCACGAAGTCTGGCAGTAAGTCGGGCGTGTCCCTCTGCAGGGGGATTGTCGACGAAAAACAAAAGAAATACTCAAAAAAGGGTTCGAAATTGTTAAAAAATACTCCAAAAACAGTCCCCAGACTATTTTTCTACTATTTTTGAATATTCCCCCTGTAGAGGGACAGGCCCGACTTACGTCTGGCACCACCATGCCGATCCAGGCGACCATGGCCACACGCCCGTGCTTCAGCTCGGCCTCCCGGAACCAGGGCAGGTACTGCGGACACCTGGCGGGTTCCGGGAATCCTGGCCGGAAAAATCCTGGCCGGAAACCTGGGCCCTCCCAGAAAGAACACCCCTACGGGGTGCGTCCTTTGCTTCCGCCGCCTTCCGCTGGCGGAGCCGCCCCCATGCTACGTTCCCCAGCTCCCGCCAGGGAAAACGCGTCAACACCTCGGCGCCTCGAGGGCGAGGTCCTTTTTGGAGCGCCCCGCCTGGCGGCGATGTTGAGAGGGTCGTAGATCTCGTCCCCGCCGATGAGGAAGCGCTCGGCCTCGGACGGTGCGCCCACCATGCCGCCCACCGGGTTCGCTGCGACGCGGGCGGCGCCGTAAGGGATCTCCGTGAGCTCCGCGCGGCACGCCACCGCGGACTGCTTGCCGCCCCGGCGCGTGCGGGTCAGCGCCGCCCCCGCCACGGCCACCGCCACGGCCGCCACGGCGGTGGTCGCCGTGGAGCGCGGCGGAGGCGCAGCGCCGGGGCCGACGTCGGCAACACCGCTCGGGGCCCCGGCGCCGCGCAGGGGCGCGTCGCCTGCGCGGGCGCCGGGCGCGAAGGCGGCGCCCTTGCCGATGCAGCCCGCGAGCGTGGCGGTCGCGGCCATCGGCTTCGCCATGCCTGGCCCGGGGTTCCTGGTGGGCGGCAGGGCGCGAGGCGCCCAGGGTCTGAGCCAAAGTGGCTGGGGGCGAGCGAGTCCCCGCGAGGACCGTCAGCTGCAGTGCACTGCGCACGGTGTCCATCCTTGAGAGGGCGAGCACGCTGCCACGAGGTGCCAACCGTCGTGGCGTCTGGAAAGCTCTGCCCCAGAGGGCGTCGCACTCCGCCCAGACGAGCGCGAGGCAAGGCGGGGGGGGGAGGGCGGCAGCGAAGCGAAGCGAGGCGCACGCCGGAGTCGTGCCCGCTCCGCCAGGGAACCGCATGTGCCCAACAGGGCGTGGCGTGGAAGCCGTGGCCGCAAACATGTAATATGTGCGCGGATCACGTGATCACCGCTATTGGGAAAAGTCGCGGAGGAGGCAGACTGGGAAGGAGGATCTAGCGATCCTAGCAAAGAGGGGTTACACGAATGCAAGCTCGGGCCTTTGATTCAGCACTGTGCGAGGAGCCGGGCCAGGAGGCTTCCAGGACGGCCCATGATGGCTCGAAGATGGCCCAAGACGGCCCCCAAGAGGTCTCCAAGACGGCCCAAGAGGAGGCCCCCAAGAGAGCCTCCAGCAGGGCCCGAAGAGGCCAAAATCAGTGATTCCCCATTGATGTTTACAGGATTTTGACAGTTGCTTCTTTTCGGTCTTCCGACGGTCCGAGACGGCCCGATGTTCCTCTAAGATCGCCCCAAGATCGCCCAAGAGGCCTCCAAGATGGCATCATAAAGACCTAAGAAGCCCCAAGACTGCCCCAAGAGGGCCCCAAGACTGCCCAAGAGGCATCCAAGACGCCCTAGGTGGCCTCCAAGACGGCCCTGGAGCACCCCAAGAGGGCCCCAAGTCGGCCTAAGAGGCCCCCGAGACTGCCGCAAGAAGGCCCCAAGACGGCCCACGGGGCGTCCAAGACGCCCTAACTGGCCTCCAAGGCGGCCCTGGAGCACCCCAAGACGACCCCAAGTCGGCCCCGAGGGGCTCCCAAGACGGCTTCCGAGGGCGTCAGGCGGTCCAGAAATGCACTAAGACGGCCCAAGAAGCCCCCGAGAAGATCCCAAAGGCCCCCAAGAGGCCCAAGGAGGCCTGCAAGATGCCTCCACGAGGCTCCCAGGAAGCTCCCAGGAGGCCCCAAGAGTGCCCCGGCTCGTCTTGCGAGGGGGGGAGTCAGTCTCAGCTGTTTGGGGTTTGTCGCCCCGAGCTGTTGGAGCGGACCCACTCCCGTAGATATAAGCGAGACCGCATCTTTGACAAGCTCCTGCATCCGCGGGTGCCGCGTCTCCGTATAGCCACCCCTGCTCCTCTCAAATTCTCAGATGATGCTTGTGCGTGGCTCGGGCTTATCTAGGCCCTTCTGGCAGCAATTACTTGTGATTTCTGCGCCGTCGGCCAGGTGCTGGCCGAGATGGGGTCTCTTGTATCCCTGGGTCGTAAGCCCTCGTCGTCGGTCTCTGCTGATTGAGAGTTGTGCTTCTCTCCTTTTCCATCGCTCTGCTCCATCCGTCACCCGAACTCGGCGCGCTCTTCTATCTGGGTCCGTCCTCCTCCTCCTCCTCCTCCTCCTCCTCCTGATCTTCCCCGCCATACTCCCCCAAGTGTTCGGGGGTGATTCGCCGTAGGCGTCTTCGAAAACCTCAGAATCCCCCAAGGGGGTCCCACGGGACCACCAAGAGGCTTCATTATCCTCCTCCTCCTCCTCCTCCTCCTCCTTTTCCTCCTCCTCCTCTTCCTCCTCCATCCTCCTCCTCCTCCTCCTCCTCCTCCTCCTCCTCTCCTCCTCCATCCTCCTCCTCCTCCCATCCTCCTTCTCCTCCTCCTCCTTCTCCTCCTCTCCTCATCTCCTCATCTCCTCCTCCTCCTCCTCCTCCTCCTCCTCCTCCTCCTCCTCCTCCTCCTCCTCCTCCTCCCTCCTCCTCCTCCTCCTCCTCCTCCTCCTCCTCCTCCCTCCTCCTCCTCCTCTCTCCTCCTCCTCCTCCTCCTCCTCCTCCTCCTCCTCCCCTCCTCCTCCTCCTCCTCCTCCTCCTCTCCTCCTCCTCCTCCTCCTCCTCCTCCTCCTCCTCCTCCTCCTCCTCCTCCTCCTCCTCTCCTCCTCCTCCTCCTCCTCCTCCTCCTCCTCTCCTCCTCCTCCTCCTCCTCCTCCTCCTCCTCCTCCTCCTCCTCCTCCTCCTCCTCCTCCTCCTCCTCCTCCTCCTCCTCCTCCTCCTCCTCCTCCTCCTCCTCCTCCTCCTCCTCCTCCACCTCCTCCTCCTCCTCCTCCTCTCCTCCTCCTCCTCCTCCTCCTCCTCCTCCTCCTCTCCTCCTCCTCCTCCTCCTCCTCCTCCTCCTCTCCTCCTCCTCCCCAGGTGGATCCCCTATGCGGGCCCCAAAAACTGGGAGCCCCATCCGCACATCCGTCCTCGTCTTCATCCTCGTCCTCGTCCTCGTCGTCCCCCCTAGGATAAGATTTGTTGTTCGGCGTCTGCTGGCGGGCCAGCAGGCGGGAAGAGCGCGCGTGTCCAAACCCAGACCGCTGACGTCGCATTTGTTCCGCAACGTGGACCCGTGAGGTCAAGACCACTTCCCCGGAAGAGGCTTTTTACCCAGAGTAATTGTTTGACGGTCCTGGGGCCCGGCGAGGGCCCCCAGAGGCTGAGCAAAACAAGCAAATCCCACGTCTTGTTTTTCACGACGCGAGGTGGTCTGTGGATCGCGCGCGCCCCGGCGAACCTTGTCCTCGGCAATCAAACACTCAACGGGCTTGGGACTGCGCGGGCCTCTTCGCAGCACAGTTGCGCCGCCCTCTGCTCAGTGCAGCCTACCCTAATGCTGGGCTGATGATCGGGTGCTGCTCGAAGTGCTCCGGCCCGAGGTGTCCTCAGCATTTCGCGCCATGTTGAAGATCCTGGAGCATCTGGACCTCCTGAGGGGTGCTCTGGAGGCGTGGGGTCCTCCTCGGAAATCCTGGGGACCCTTTGGGCCACACACACTTCTGGCAACACCCGAGATGACTTTATCGTCTCCGTCGTCGGCCGCACTGCCCTGCTCTCCTGCTTTCGTGCCAGGGCCGTCGGCGGTCGACTGCACACGCCCAGGCACTGCAAAGAACGGCTGTCCGCTGACCTTTAGGAGGCACCTCCTGGGAGGTCTCCTTAAGAACGGTGAAGGGCTCAAAAAACCGATTAGGGGGCTATTCAGCCGGATAGCAGCGGGTTGGGCCCAGGATCTCTGGCTGGATAAAGAATGAGGAAGCCAGATCGCCAAAGACTGTGCCCGATGAGGCCGTTTTTCGACCACGGATATATAGCAGCACCGATGCTGAATTCGCCCTTCCAGGAATTGCATCCTCACGACCTTCACCCAGCGACCACTCTTCGCAGCTGGCTGCGAAGCCAGCAGACAATGACACCGACCGCGCTGGGGATACCACCCGAGCGCATCTGGTGGACACTCGCAGCCTGGATCTCCTGCCGCATGGGTCGGGATGAGCGTCGAGTCCGGGTGCGGCCCTGGCTCGTAAAATCTGAACATGTTCTCGACCGTATCGAACAAATCCAGGGTGCTCGGAGACACGAGCCACGCTGGGAAATCCTGCTTCACAGGAGCCGCCCTGCTGAACAGCAACGGCAAGATCGCCATCATGGCGTCGTCGTGGTGCTTGACGTCGTTGCGGGTGTAGCCTCTGTCGGGATTCTTGCTGTGGGTCTCCGCCGATGTGCCAGACGCCGTGGCCTCGTACATGAGCCTCTTGAACTCCCGGTACCAGTCGGCGGGGAGCTGCGTCAGGACGTCCCGCCGCCACGCAAACATCCCCTCGCCGTAGGTCTCGTGGACCAGGGGGAGCGGCTGCCCCAGCGTGCGCAGCGCAAAAAGGAAGTCGGGCGACACCTCGTCGCCCGGGCTCGACTGCCTGACCATGTACAGGGGAACGATCCCGTCCTTCGACGAACGAACAACACACACAAACACACACACAGACCCATGTAAGCATGGGTGCGTGTTGTCGAATGGGGGTCCCCGCTCGAACGGGAGCCTCCCCAGGAGCCCGAAAAATCGCACCCGTACCCATAGCTAGTCCTCCTCCCTCCGACCCTCTTATGGATGGGTATGGATGTGTGTGTGTGTGTGCTGTTAGTTCGTCGTCCTTGTACTTCGCTATCTTTATCATCCCTCCCTTGGCGCTGGAAGCCCCGTCGCAGAATTCTTGGTAGAGGGAGTGTCCACGCCAAGCTGGGTCGCATCGCACATTCAAATACCGCCGGTCGAACGCCCACGGGAAAGACACCGACTCATAAGTACCATTCCGCGATAAGTCCACCATGTATTTTACCATTTTTTCCATGCGGGCCTTATCGTCATGTATCACATTGGTCTTCGTGAAAATTTCAACGTCTGCGAAATCTGGGGCCTTTCGTGCTAAATGCAACGCGTAAGCATGTTCGTTTCGCCCGATATTAGGGATCTGGATCATCTCGTGAATACCCGAGGGGATCACACGCATCTCATCGGACTTGGTACCATCGTGCTTGACGTATATGGAGAGTGACACATGCTGGCCCCATTCCCCTCTCATGATCTTGTCACAGAACGGCGGAAGATCCTCACCGTCCCGTATGCTGATCACCACGTTCACAGTTCCATTTCCACTGCTTTGCTGCCTGGCCCGTGACTCCTCTCTTCCAAGCATCTTTGTTACGTGCTCCGCGTGCGCATCATCCAAAGCCTTGCCGAACACAGTGGTGAAAACCGACGGGTCCTTCGGAACATACTCGCCCCATGGGGACAGATGTGATCCCTGATCATCGTATTCTGTTTCTGATACTTTGGAAAGAGCTGACGGGTTCCGATCTACAGACAGAGCGAAAGTGGTCTGCACAAAACAGACGCACACAACTAGCAGAGCGCACTTAGAAGACATAGCAACAATGTATGAAAAAGTAGTGTCCACGGTTCAGCGATAGCTCGCCATCCCCAGAATCTTGGGCTATCACTACATGTGCCTCGAGTCAAATGGCTTGAGCCAGAATTGTGGAGGCTATGAAATAGGACCCTGCCGGCTTGAAACATTAGGGGAACGGGTATTTGCGTCATCGGCGACCAAAACTTATTACTCTTATAAGCTGAGCCATGGGATGCGCACTTGGACGCCGAAGCGTAAAACATCATGCTATTGGTTGCGCCGTTGGTTTCGCTGGCGGGGTGCCGAAACTCCAATCTTCCTGCTGTTGCTTGCGCCGTAGTTGCGCTCGGTAGCCAAACACTGCTGGATGAGCCATATGGTGGGCCCTCGACAGCCGAAACTTAAAACGTCATGCTGTTGATTGCGCCATGAGTTTCGCCCTCGGCTGGAAGAACTTTAAACCTGATAGACAGGGCGCTATCGGCGGCGCCCTCGGCCGCCGAGATATACAATGCCCTGCCAGCGGTTGCGCTCACAGTGGCGTCCAGGGTCGCCCAGATTCAGAACATCCTGCCGAAGATGCGCCGTCGCTTGCGCAGATGGCCACCGAAACTTTAAACACCCTGCGATGTTAGATGCTCGTTCTGGAGCCGTTCCTGGAGCCACTCGCTCCACTAATGCGTCGATGCCGCGTCGAACATGCTTCGACTTGAGTAGAACTTGAATAGAACTTGAGTCGAGCTACAGTCGAACTAGATTCGAACATATGGTTTAGGTGGGCCACAGGGAAGTCCCCCCAAACGAACACTCAAGCTATTGACTACGGCACCGCACCGAAAAACCCCTGTGCCGCCGAAGCTTATACCATCCTTGTACTGGTTGCGATATAAGTTGCGCCATCGGGCGCCATCGGTTGCGCCATCGATCGCACCCTCGACCGTCGAATCTTTAGAAGGTCCTGCTCATCTGCACGAGCCACCGTGCTACGCATGGCGGAATGGCACAAACTCCTCGTTTGAATGCCGCAAAAGCAGGAACTGGAAGAGGACAGGCAGAGCCTTTCTGTAGGGCTCGCTGCAGAACGCGGGGGCCGTCAGGACTCGTCATTCACCTCCTCCTCCTCCTCCTCCTCCTCCTCCTCCTCCTTCGCCTCCTCATCCTCCTCCACCTTCCCATCCACCTTTTCCTCCCCCTCCTCTTTCTCCTCGCTCCGTCGTCGCCGTCAGAACCATAGGGAACCGACCGGGAACGGCCGACTGCGACACAGAAGGCCCGCTCGCTCCAACGGGCCCCTCCTCCTGTCCCTGCTTGTCCCCGTCCTCCTCCTCCTCCACCTCCTCTTCCTCCTCCTCCTCCTCCTTCTCTTCCGTCTCTTCGCGGGGCTACCCGCAGACTCAAGAAACCCTCGGGACTCGTCCTTCAGGGCTTTCGCGCGGGAGGCCTCAACAATGGTCGTGGCCAGGCGTGCCCTCCGCCTCCTCCTCCTGATCGTCTTGCCCCTCCTCCTGCACAACACAACGCCTGTGTACACCACAGCAGCCGCGTACGCAACAGCGCCTGTGTACACCACAGTGCCTGCGTGCACCACAGCGCCTGTGAACACCGCAACGCCTGTGCACACTGCAGCAGCCATGTGCATCGCAGCGTACGCGTACGCCACAATGCCTACGTGCACCACAGCGCCCTTGCACACCGCAGTGCACGGGCCCTGCGGGCACGTCGATGCCTGCGTGCGCTGGAGCGCGTGTGTACTCCTTACGGTGTCCTTTGGAAGCTGCACGGATTCACGCTTGTGGCTGGCTTGCAGGTGGGGGGGGTCTCCTGCCCCGACGAAGGGAGATCCGCTCGGGCCCCCCCCCGGCTCCGCTCCTGGCCATCGGAGGCTGGCCGCGGCGAGATACTTCGACCCCCCGCCTCGCACGTCTATCCGCGGATTCAGGCCCCACCCGTGCTGGTAGCGTGTTGAGAACGAGACAGTGAAGAACACGAGGAAGCGGACTGAGGAGGAGGAGGAAACGAAGGAGAGACGAGGAGACGAGAGGAGGAGCAGGTGGAAGAGGTGGAGGAGGCGGAGCGGTAGGAGGCGGAGGAGGAGGAGGAGGAGGAGGAGGGCGAGGAGGACGGCGACTTCAGCGAGGACGACGACGACGACCTGCCTTCGACCTTCGCTTTCCGCACATTCCGTCTAAAAAGGTCATTTGGCTCATTTCCGGCAGTCTTGGCATGTCTCCGGCTGTCTTCGGATGTTTTGTGTGTCTCTGGATGTATATGGATGTCATGTCTTTAATTTTGGATTTCCTACCATCATCATCAACATCATCACCACCACCAAAATCTTCTGCATCCTCCTCATCATCACCATCATCGTCATCATCATTGTCATCGTCTACCTCCCCCCATCAGCATCTTCATCGCCCCCAGGCTGTACACGCAAATGCCCAAAACCTCGCTGCACACATGAACGCCCATTACCTTGCTGGACGCACAGATTCCGAGTGGAAAAAGATACGCAGAATAAACATCATCACCCTCATTTTCTTCATCGTCGTTCGTCCTCATCAAGATCCCCATCACCATACTCTCTGTCTTCATCCTCACCATCAGCCTAGATGTTCCTTCTCTGGAAGAGTATTAGGATCTACCCCCTCACCCCGGGGCTAAAACGCTACACCTTTGCGTATTGCAATTTGCACACGATTCTGCCCCATCGTCCATCTTACACTTGAATTCATATAACCCCAGGCAGGTCGGAATTCGCCCTCCCCCCCCCGCGTCATCCTCTGCAATCTACTATGCGCGCGCACCCGTTTATCATACATCTTCAATGTTCTAGGTGACGAAGTGCACACGCGCGCGTCGTCGCGCGCGCATGCCGAAACCCGTCAAAAATCCAAGAGTCCCGTAATGATTCCAACATTGAATGTCACGACAACATATGGGGAAGAAAGCATGGCTTCGCAACAACCGTGTTCAAAACAAATTGCGCTCGCGCTCTTGCGAAATATTGAATGGACTATACGTTTTCCAACATGTTTAACACTTAATTGAAATTGGCCTCTCTCGAACGCGTCGAAACCGTTCGAACGTCCTGGCGCGCGTGCTGTCGCAAGAATCCCTTGCGCCAGTCTGGACGAAGTGCACGCGCGCGCGTCGTCGCGCGCGCATGCCAGAATCCTTCGACAACCTGGATTTCGTAAAGGAATCCAAATCGAGCGTCGTGACATGTTATGAAAAAATGATTTGGCAACATCAGTTTTCAACGCGAAATCCTGCGCTCGCGCTTGTGCTGGTTCTTGAAGGGAAAGAAAAACATTGGTTGCCCAACAGGTTCGTCAAATTCTGCCAAGCGGGCCTTTCGAACCGCATGTCGAAATCATTCGAGCGCTCTCGCGCGCGTGCTGGGGGGGGCGGGGGCGGCGCGACCCGTGTCAATTAATGCCGCGCGGGCCGCTCGCGAGCGTCGGCCGCGCGCGCGTCGAACTCCTTCAAACAGCGCCATCGCCGACGCGAGGACATCGTCATCTTTGTCGGCGGGCATGATCCAAATCGGCGCCGTCATTGGCCTTGCCGCTGTCATCGCCGCCATCGTCACCATCATCGCTACTCTTCTGATAAACTCGTTTACCGTTGTCGGCATTGCCACGATGCCGCGCTCGCCCAAGACACAGACTCGCACTGAAGACCCCGCTGGGAAATGCCCAGCGGCCAGCGCCACCGCGGCCGCGCGGTCGCACGGAACTAGCCGGCCGCTGCGCCCGCGAGCATCGCGGGCTAGCGCGGCCGCAGGGACGCGCCAGCAAACGCCATGCACTTATCGCCATCGACGCCGAATGAGTTTTGCAGACAAAGTTACGGATGGGTGGATGGGATGTTTGCATGGGCATGGAATGTGTCAAATAATTTGTAACTATAAACTGCACCACGTAGATTGCGCGATGTCTGTTGCCTAGAACAAATTGCACCGCAAACGTTGCACCACGCAGATTGCGCCACGTAGGCACGTGGATCGC